AGAATCAAAACTGGCAAAATATAGGTAGACCTCATTTTATGACTACAATTCAGCCCAATTTTTTGTTGCTAAGTCAGAGAGTTGTTCAGTGAATTTTGCCCCTTTGCAACCTTTCTTGCCACAGTTGTTAAAGTGAATCTCTGCAGTTGTTAAATTAGTAACCTGGTTGTTAAGTGAATCTGGCTCCCCCATTGATTTTGCTTGTCAGAAGGTCACAAAAAAGGGAACACGTGACTCCGGGACACTGCAACCATCATAAATATGAGTCAGTTGCCAAGTGTCTGAATTTTGATCATGTGACCATGAGGATGCTGCAACAGTCGTAAATATAAAAAATGGACACAAGTCACTTTGTTCCGTACTATTGTAATTCTGAATGGTCACTAAATGAACTGTTGTAAGTTGAAGACTACCTGTACTGCAAACCAAAGATACTCTTGGATTAGCCACACAGGACAACGAATTCCATTCTGCTTGAAAAGAGAAATATATAATATATCTGTAGGAATGTGGTAATCTATGATAAGAATGGAAGACAGTGCTTAGTTATTTACCCAAGAAAACCCTTTCATTAAATTTAATTCAGATATATAACAAGGAAAGATATGAGTCAGCTGTTTGAGAACTACTGTTGTATGCAAGCAGAGTAGGGTGCTAAAGGCACCAAATCATCAAAATGAATGCTTTTTTAAGTTTTCTAGACTCACAGCATTTACTTAAGGAGGTGGTGGGAATTTGTACCTATTTCTGGATCTAGAAGGCCCTCAGGCAATCATTCATGGTTTGGCCACCCTCTGTGGACTATTGCAAAGTACTTATTTTTTTATTATTTTTTTATTTTGACAAACGCTTACAATATAATAGAAATAAGAATAAACATGTATAAATACATGAAATGGGTACTAATAATTGGGGACAATAAGACAGGGACAGTAGGCATGATTGTGCGCTTATGCACACCCCTTACAGATCTCTTAGGAATGGGGTATTAGTTTGAGGGTAAAGGAGTGGGGGTTTGAGTATGTGACAACAGAATCAGGTAATGAGTTCCAGACATTGACCACTCTGTTGCTGAAATCGTACTTCCTGCAATCAAGTTTGGAGTGGTTTAGATTAAGTTTATATCTGTTGTGTGCTCTTATGTTGTTGTGGTTAAAGCTGAAATATTAATTGGTAAAACATTGTAACATATAATTTTATGTACTATGCTTAAATCCAATCTTAGCCAGCATAGTTCAAGATTGTCTAAGCATAGAATCTCAAGTCTGGTGGTGTAGGGTATTCTGTTGTGAACAGAGGAATGTAGTACTCTTCTTGTAAAATACTTCTGGACTCACTCAATTGTATTAATGTCTGATATACAGTGCAGATTCCAGACAGAGGAGCTGTATTTAAGTATTGGTCTAGCAAAGGTTTTGTATGCCGTAGTTTGCAAATCAGTATTACCAGAGAAGCTTCGTAAGATTAGATTTACAACTCTTAAAGCCTTTTTGGCAATGCTGTTGCAGTGAGCTCTGGTGCTTAGGTCATTCGATATGAGTACTCCAAGGTCCTTGACAAAGTGGGGGTCGTCAATGAGGTCATATCTACCTACCTTGCATTTTATGTATTGATTTTTTTTTACCAATGTATAGGACAGAATAAACCATTCAGAAGGGCAGAATGGGCAGTTATCTCTTGCACCAATGTGTTTCTGGGTTCAATTTACCTTTAAACATAACATAGTGCCGGTCTATTTGAGAGACTGACTGCCCCCTACAGTGCCTACCCATCCTGTTTGATTTGAAATAGCTGACATATTTATCCTGTCAATTTAGTAGTATCATATGTTGGACCCTATGAACAGGCCTTCGCTGCCATTGTGCCTGACCTCGGGCTCTTACCCAGGCCTCAAGCTATATTAGGTGATGGTCCTCTTGTGGGAATATTGCATATTAGATAAAGTATTTGTTTTATAAGTTGGAGTCCATCATGTTTTCTTTGTTGTATATTGCTTAATCTGTTTTTAATATTATCTGCATTCAGAATTGTCATGGAGGGGTTTGGCCTTACAAATGTAATAATAATTTGGTTAAAAGAAGTAAGAATGAAAAGGCACTCCTGTGACAAGAAAAAAATGCAATAAAAATATCTAAACTATATATTTTGGTTTGGTTTTTTTTTAAAATCAGGATATTCTTGAGAAGTTTACCACAGAAAACTAACAGCAAGCTCAATTGTATTTTTAATTCCACATGGTTGTCTATATGGGGAATACACCGTAAGGCTATGCAAATACTCTGAAATAACTGCTTGGCAATATGCAGAAGAGCAAATGGCTTCTCTTAAAATTGCCTTTTTAAAGCTCAAATGGCTACTTTGAAAGCAGCTTCTGACCATTCTGTTTATGGGTTCATGCGTAGCCACCTTGCTGTGTCTCGTTTTCATGTTGCAAAGCATCTTTTTCAAAGGATTTCAATAGCCACTCTGAACTTTAAATAAGTATCACAAGTCTTTATCTAAATCACTCTAAATAAATGTAAAGGCTTAAAAAACAAATCATTTAAAATTATTACAGTCTATGTCAACAGGAAACTATCATGAGTATTTTTTCAATAGATCTACCATTGCTTAAGCAATCTGGGAAACTAAAATTCTTTCACTTTGGAAGGAAAGACAAGGAGATAGTGGCTTTCTTTGGTTGCAGATTTTCTTGTGTTATGAATTCTCAAGAACTAGTGAGGTACTATTACTGTTAAAAAAAACCCTTCAAATTATAAAGCTGAGCTGAATTGCTATATTTGCACAGTACAGTGATCCATAAGCTATCCAATTACATACCAGCCTATTGTCTTGTATGAACATGGCCTCTGTGGTTCATTTATGGTTCATGTCATATAAACCTAGAAAATTGAAGTAATTAAATCATAGTTTGGTTAATTATAAGCAAATTTGTCATAAGAACACATTTAAGGCTTTTGTGTAGAATAGCAGTTCCCAACCTTTCTGGCTCCATGGACTAGCAATAGTATGTGTGTGGGGGGGGGAATGGTTTCTTGTGTGAAAATTACATCAAGTGCGTGCGCAAATGAAACTTTGCGAGCTCGCCGCTTGCATGACCCAGGGCCCGACAGGCTGTGGACTGGTATCAGTCTGCAGACTGGAGGTTGGGCACTTTTGTATCTATTCCACAATTCCCAAACAAACTTTTATGTCAGAAAACAATGCGGTAGCACTTTTTTAGGAATAATTTTTTTTGTTAAAAATCAATGATTGTGAGTTACAGCTTATTCTTGAGAAGCATGAACAATAATATTTGTTAGTCTAAAGAAATGTTGCCAGATTCTTCCCACCCTCAATCTAAAAGCTCACTTTTTAAAAAAAAATATTTTTAATTTTAATCATGAGAATACAACACAATATATCCAACTTATCTTCATTATTTTACTTCATTTATAATCTTATTTAATATATTAATTACTAATTAATCTAATCATAACTACTAATATTTTGACCTTGTCTTCGACTATATAACCACTGATAAAATTTATAATAAAAGTTTTATAATATTTAGAGTCTCCTTTATCTTTTATTTCTAAAGCTAGCCTATCTGATTCTGTATATGCCATAATTTTTCTTATTATTTCTGTTTCTGAAGGTATTATTTCATTTTTCCAAAATTGTGCATATAATATTTAAGCCGCCGTCAATACATGTACTATTAGATACATTATTTCCTTCTTAAATTTTTCTGATATTATACCAAGGAGAAAAAAAATCCAGTTTAAATGGAATACACACTCCCACTATTTGTTCTATCCATGTTTGAATCAGTCTCCAATATTTTTTTGCAGCATTGCAAGTCCACTACATGGAAAAAATGTGCCTGGTACATCTTTACACTTCCAACAATTTGGAGATATATTTTTAAACATTTTAGAAAGCCTTGCTGGTGGAAGATGCAACCTGTAAAACATATTATAAAGATTTTCTTTATAAGCCATAGCCAATGTTATTTATCTCATTTGTGATCTAAAACTTTTACCTTTTAGACAAAAAAAAAGCTCACTTTTAAGTTCATCATGCTCTCAACCAAACCTAACTCATGTTTGGAGAAAGAAGACAATAGAGATAGTCCCTGACTTATAACAGTTCAAAGTTACAACGGCACTGAAAAAAGTGACTTCTGACTATTTTTCAATTTACAACGTTGCAGCATCATATTCAGACATTTGGTAACTGACTCATATTTTTGACAATTTCATTGTTCCAGAGTCATGTGATCAACTTTTTCAACCTTCTGACAAAGAAAGTCAACGAGGAAGTTGGATTCACTTAACCATGTTACTAACTTAACAACTGCAGTGATTTACTTAACAAATATGGCAAGATAGTTTGTAAAATGGAACAAAACTCAACCTCTCACTTAGCACAAGACATTTTAAGCTGAATTGTGGTTGTAAGTTGAGGACTAACTTATATACCACTTTGAGCTCCTTATGACAAATAGGGTTATGTCAACAATATTTAGGTCAACTATTTAATTTTAATTAAATTAAAATTACATTACATTAAAAAAATCAACTATTGTTTTGATTCAAACTATGCATTGATCTTTTTGTGGGGAAAAGCACAAGGCAGCCAAAACAAATTGATTGGCAGCTAAAAAGACCAAAGGACTATACTTATGATTTGAATGGAGGTGGATTTGTTGGAGTCCTGACATTGATAATCTATATGGGAGATCACAATTTCTCATGCTTTATTAACTCATTAATGGCTGGGCAAGATCTAATATCTTTCCCTCTCAATCAGTGGTTTGTCTTGTTTAAATTGTTCTTCTAATGAAATCAATATGAAGGAAAATACCCACCCCAGCAGAGGTTCTCTACAGATTTGATGCCCAGTCCAAAAAAAGATATACAAAGAAGACTGGATTTAGTGTAAACACAGTCAAATTCATTTCTATTTCAAAAGCTAAGAAGCTTCCAAAGTAAAAGTGATTCTCTGCTGATGAAGAGATACTTTTCTTTCTCTTTTAATCTTTAAATTCTCTTCTAGCAAGATCTAAGTTTTCTCTGCCTCTAATGTTTTGACAACCATAACAAACAGGATGAAACAATTCTCTAAGAAGGATTTTCTCATTCAGTTTTCCAACGAATTATTGACAAAATACTTCAACATTATATAAGAGCTAGGAATTGTTTCAAAGGATAGAGATATAGTTTTATGTCATCTAAAAATTGTAGAAAGTAGATAATTACTTTTTATATGCTCACTATAATAATGTTATATAAAACTAATTTACTATCACAGGTTAAAAAAATTGAATACATTTTACAAAAAGTGAAATTCAAGTCTAGTACCTGTAAAGTTTAAAGACATTTTTTAATCAATGCAGGCTGTGGAAAGTATTTTAAAAAGGTCCTCAAATACATTAGTAAAAACAAATCATTTATTTTTGAAGCATTAAAACAGCTATGTCTCTCACAAGCCTCCTTTGTAAGTTTTGAAAGCTGTCTCATTTTTTTCCATGCATGTGTGCAACTACAGCACACAAACTTTCCTTGCAGCTTCAGAATAAATGCCACATACAGAAAACTCAGGCAGCATTCAGTGAAAAGCATTGTTAAGGATATAACTCTTGAACAAACAAGAAGTAAAATTATAGGAGACTCACATTCATCTTGCTAGAAATAAAAAGCGTGATCCTGAAAAACTTTTGAAAGCAAGATTTAAGTACATAAAAGATAACAAGAGAACCAGTAAGTAAATAAACTCTCCCCCTCCCCCACCAGCTGAATTGTACTTAGTCTACTGTCTCTAAAGTGCAAATAAATTGCAGGAGCACAGAAAGAAATTAGCAGATGATTGAGAAGCTTGTACAAAAGAGTTGTAAGAGCATTTGGAGGTGAAAAAAGAGTTTTTGTTTGATCATTGTTAGATTTTACCCACATATAAAATTTTGAATAAAAGACTACTTAGAAATAAAAGTTAACAAGGAAACGTATTAATGTTTTATCATTGTACAAAAATGACGGTATTCTGACCTTTAGCATCTTTAAACTTTGGGATGTACTTCCTCAAAAGCAAAACACTAATTATATGGCTTGTTTCACCCAACAAAATCTGAACTAATTTAGCAAGCATGACCTAGAATTGCCTTAGAAAATAATTATTTGAGGCTCTCAAGATGTCTACCAAAAGGGATCTTTTACTAATTTTTTTCAGTTAGATACAAAAATGCATTCAGGAAAATACAGGCTTGTGAATTATAACATTGTTCAAATAAGTCTGCTACCAGTTACTTAAACAAACACATATACAATACATACATATGTACATATACATATACCAGATAAATAGCAATAGCACTTAAGACTTATATATCACTTCATAGTGCTTTATAGCCCTCTCAAAGCGGTTTACAGAGTTAAGACTATTGCTCCCAACTCATTTTACCCACCTCGGAAAGATGGGTCAGCCATGAACGGGTGACGAACGAAAAAATATTCATTACTCTGTTCAATGACTAATAATAATTTTGATCTAACAAATCTAATTTAATTTTACTATATTAGAATATTGATAACTAAATTTATGGGGAAAAATCCCTCATAGCATTCATTCAAAATTTGTATACAGGAACAAAAACTTCATTACTGCTAACATTATATTAGAATTGGAGATTGAATTTTGAATATGTTTGAGCAAGACAACTTTCTTGTTATGTTACATTTAATTAGACATACTCTCTAATGACAAATAAATGTACTCACTAATTATAGAACTTTAGATTACTAATAACAGAACTCTAAGCAATACCAATATCCCAAGTAAGTTTTTCAGTAAAAAAGATCCTCTGACCTGAATTCAACTTACTGCCGAAAAGCAACTACAGAATGAAGACATATATTATTTGACATTCTAGAACCAGTAATATAAGGTCTATACTTTTTTTACTCCATAATTTTTGGTTTGTACTTTCACTATTGCACTTTCATAAAACAAACACACACACACACACACACACACACACACACATTTCAACTGTACTACTGTTTGTTACAAGATTTCACAATGATCCTTGGTAAGAATTATAAGAAAACAGAATACTGAACAATTCCATACACAATCTACACAGACAAAAATCATAATGTATCAGTAAATAATATTTTTCACTAGTCAAACACATGGACCATTTCTACACTGTTAATTTTAAAAGGACTATTTTTAGAATAATAGGTTTGGCAAAACTAAGACAGATATACACATAAACATACATTTAAAAATCAGAAGATTAATGGCCCCTCTCCAAATTAACAAATGTCATCAAACGGCACAAGCTTTTATGAGACAAAATTTTAGCTCTTTTATTAAAATTGTTAATTTAAAAGGGTGCTACAAAGTTCCTGATTTTTGCCTACATAGCTCTCCTATAAAAACATATGCTCACAATTTTATGCTGCACACGATCAGTAGAATACATTTAACTATACATAGGATTGTTTAAAAACATCCATCTAAATTTCTGGGAAGCATCAATTGCTTACTGTGATCAGTACAATTAATGGCACTTTGAAAAAAATCTTATGTATGTTAATAATTCTATTCCATCTTATTGTTTTAATGTTCGTTTCAATTCTAATGTATGCTCAAAGAGCTTAATCCATGAGCTTCAATATTATTTGTGTGTGTAGGATTATGGCATGCTAATTATGCAGATACGAAAAGACCTATTTTGAGGGGGGGGCTTATTCCTCATTCTCAGTACACTGCACTGTGCAATCTTCAAAGCCTTCATACTCCAATTCCCTTGAGACAACTCTCACTATCTAACAATAACGTTTTAAAAATGGAATTTTCTACAACTTTTTGTACCATTGCAAGTTTCTTTCAGTAATTTCCTAACTATATTGCTTTAAAATATAACTGTGATGACCAACTCAACTTTTAAATATTTTTTCTAATAAATAATTTACTTTTAATTCCTAAATAATTTTAGCTTCTTTCCCTCATATTGACCTCGAGAGTATTCTTAATGTTAATATATTAATTTATTACTTTTCATTGCTATTATTTTATTGCTTCTTTTATTTTTAAAACATATCTGCATCTGTTTTTAATTTACATCAGCTTATGTTTTGTATTTATATTTAGACATTTTTCTTTTTTCAAGTTTAAATACTGAATTGCTGAAAAAAACCACAAACCTTTATCACATATATATGTCACACATTAAATGGTCTACTAATATGCCTTCTATCTGCATTAAATTATCACTTACTTCTTTTATAATTATCTACAATATTTAAGCTAATTTTGGCTTAAATATTTAAGCTAAGCTAAGTTCCCCCTCTATCAGTATATCAAATATGAACAAAATTACCCCCAAACAGCCAACTCAAAATATGAAACATACATAATTCAACCAAAAGTGATAGGAAGCAGGGATGTACAGTAATTGTTTATATACTAACATTTGTATAACAATCCTTTAATGTATTTTAATGTTTTACTGAAACTTATTACTCCCCTAGTGATATATTGATGCTGTTATTGAACAATATTATTCTGGAAAGTCTACAGCTCAGCAGAAAATGTCAAAAAGTCAGGAATTTTGTTGTTGTTGCTGCTGCTGCTCCTCCTGCTGAATTTTCTTTTTTAAAATGTTACTAGCACACAGTTATTAGTATATGAATGGTACTTCTGTCTATTAAATCCATAATATAGTACTCTCTGTAAAAGTCTTTTGAAGAGAGCTTCTCCAATGGAGGATTTCATTTTTTATGGATTAAAATGGAGACTGAATGTCAACCATATACCTATGATACTAACGGGAGCATCTCATTTTAGTCTGATTCAGTTTATACAACATTTTTCTGATGGAGATGCGCTTTTAGACTTTTGCACTATCTTAGAAATTGCTCTATCAAAGGTAAGCAAGATTAGAATAACTAAAAATAATCATTAACATAAATATTACTAATTATTAGTATGTACATTTTCTCCAATCTATTAAATTTAAAAAAAATTACTATGTGGACAATATTGAGAGGGGTTTCAAGGTCTGTATCCAAAGCTTTTAAACAGCCATATAAAGCCCAATGCTTTAGGTAATAAATTTCCAGCTAATTAACAGAGTTAAGAAATACATTTAATTAGTGATAAGAATTTTTCTTATAAAAAATGGAACATTTTTCAGTATAAAAAATGGAAGTGGTTCCAATAATCTCTGTACATAACGGGATATTTTTATGACTGGAAAAAAATCTGAATTACTTCATAAAATAATTTTATCTATGTTACATTCTGTTCAATATTGTTACATTGTATGTTTTTAATTTAAATAATTCAACTGTAGTTTATTCAATATTGAAGATAAAAAACCCATCTACTTTATATGTGTGTAACAACTGCACCTAACAGTACAAGTTCTTAAGAACTGGGTCATATTCATTTAATAAATTATTTAAATATACTCCTGAAAGCTGAGATACTATAGTACTTACTATAATACTTACTGTTTAGATATCTGAAAAATCAAGTCAGTTAAGGTTTTAATGAGAATTTTACCTGTCAGTTGACTAAACATGGTTTGTGAATCTAAAGTTCACAAAAACGCCCAAATAATTTCTGAGATTTGGAAAGAGATTAGTTAAATCTGTTACGTATAAATTTCAAAGTGCCAGAATGTATCATGTACATGTATAATGCAAATACAATATGTATTTAAATATTGCTTTTACATATTATTAAATAGGAATAGCTTCATTTTAATACTCATACAATATTAACTTGAATAATTTCCAAGTAAGCATACTTTCATGTTTGAAAATAAAAATGTTACATAGGTAACCAAAACAGCTAATGTTCTCTTTATCTTTTCCATATATGGAAAATGGCAAGTATATGATAAGGAATTGTCATCTTTAAAAGAAAGATACTTTGAGCAGATATAAACCGATCAACTGGTCTCAGATTGAAAAATTAAAGAAAATCATTTTTGAGAACATCTTCAAGTAATAAAGCATAGAAAGAAAATATCTACTTCTACTTTCAATTTCTGATTAATTAATTATGACTAAGAGGAATAAAACACTAAAACAACAAGTTGAATTCTATGACAGTGATAACACAGGCCTAATGGAACTACAATAAAAAGCCATACAAAGTTTATCTTCACCAATCACTCTTCTGCTTATTTATTTATTTACCTCACTTGCATTTGAATTGAGTCTCATCATAAATTTAAACAACTTGTTTAACCACTTTGATCTTTCAGAATTAATGAGATATGCTAGCTTTACTATCACAAAAACTGAAAGACAAACTTTTCAGGGCACATTGTTGTGTGTTTTGCAATAATGGACAGTATAATATTTAGGCACCAAATTAATGAAATGCCTTAATAATGTTAACTTTGTCTCATAAGGTACTTTCATTTTATTTAAAGAGAACTATTAAAAATGTTCTCAGCTATGTTTTACAGTTCCCAGGAAATAATGGTTTATGACTAAAAGTGAATATATTTAATAAAAGTTATAGCATATTAGAAATAGCAGTATAAAATACTACTTATTTTGAGGTACTTTAATAGTATAGTATAAAATTAACATAAACAACTGTTCAAGAGTTTAATGTAGTAATCTGTATAAAGCAGCACATTCTAAGCCTATCTTGAAGCTTCTGTATAACTTATTTTATCATATAAAATGAAGACTCAATGAAATTATTCTTCCCTTTTAATAAAAAAAATGAACCAATTTGTAACACTTAACAATTCTCCCCTTTAACAGTTATTAAACTATGTTCAAAATTCAGTAAATCTTGAAATTTTATTTTATTTTATGTCCATTTAGAGAACTAAAATAGTTTTAAACACATCCTAATCCTTTAATAGGTTCACATCTAATCTACAAAAAACAAAATAAAACATTATACAGATATTTGGTATTTTACCCATTTATTTTTAAACATTCCACTATGCCTTTTGACTGATTATATCTTTTTAAGAGGGCTATAGTATATTAAAAAATTATGTTTGTTAGTTTGTACTTTAGGAATTATAGCCAAAAACCTGAGAACTGCACAGCTAATCAAAGTCAATAGAAGCTGGGCCTAAAATAGGTGCAACATATTGTAAGTTATAGTTTGAGAGAAAAAGCCAAAAAAGAAAATCAATAAACAGAAAAAGCAGCTTACTTAAAAATCAGGAATCAATAAAAGTATTAGAAAATGATATAAAAACAGAAATAAAAATCTGTTAGTAAAAGCATATTTTCTTGTTTTCCATAACAAAGCAAGCCTGACACAACTTTACATTCAAATTGGTCCATAATTAAGTTATTTTTCTGAATAGCTATCCAAATAATTTCCTTTTTTTACTCTAATTTTTTATTGCTCAAATTTTTTTTTGAGAAGCAGTTTTTACTGTTCTGTGATGTTTGTTATGCTCATTCATACACAAGTGGTAGTTATACTAACTCTGTTATTTCTTTACAGATGTTAAATAAAAATACAAGATGAAAAAATACTATAATTATTTACAATTATAAAGCATTAAAAAGTGAAGCCAATGAATATTCCAAACATAATTTTCTTAAAGGAATTTGTTACTTGCTGTTTATTCTATAAATATAGTAAAATGAAATCACATGAATCAACTATTATCTAATCCTAAAGGCATTTGATATAGAAATCAAATTCATTAAAATCCATGCAGCTTTATATTTATGAATTTATTTAGGATCCACAATTAATTTATACTTAGTAGTGGGCTTTATTCCATTTGATTTCACTACCCTATCAAACAATTTTCAATTTGGTTCTTCATCTTGCAATTTTTCCAACTAATAACTTTTCCTACATAATTTTATTATTTTGTTTCTTTCAATATGGAATATGGCTTCCCATGATATCTGATTGTAAATTTATATTTGTGTACCTGTGTGTAAAATATATACCTACATACATATACCTATAATGCATACATACACACACACACACACGCACACCCGTCTGTCCTTTCTTGGATATACCTTTGAAGGTACACACTTTGAAACTACAGAATTCAAAATATAAAATTGGTTCTGCAACAATTCTAATGGATTTTATATACTGAAATATGTACACGTGTGTGCAACACGTATTTATTTCTCTTTAGCTCTACAATTACAACTCTGAACAGAATGCATATACAAAAAAATGGGGATGTACTTCTAATATATGAATGTCTGGAGCTTTCCCCAACAAAAAAAAATTAGTGCAACTTTACGTATTTACATTTTAATAAAATGAGATTTTAATTTTAATGAGATTTAAAAGATCAATCAATCTAAATAGTGATTTTTAAAAATTTCAAATTCTAATTTTTGGGATTTAGAATAAAAAAGATCTGGAAAACTACTATTTTGATTAATATTACCAACATATGACTTCAAGAGTTGTTATCAATATAAAAATAAAAATTTGTATTTTTAACCTTTCCAATCTAAAATAAAATATATAGACTTATAGGCTTTTCAAATAGGGTTCTGCTGCTGCTGTTCTATTCATTCTTTTCAGTGTGATTTAAGCAGGTCAACTGAAAATCTTTACAGTAGATTGTGCTCTCTCACATTAACACTTTGTATGGGAAAAACAAAGTTCCTATTAAATATGGCCATATTCTGTTTCACTAACCAGCTGTTTGTAGAAATATAAAAGTATGAGTTAGCAATTTGTATTTCAAAATTTAATTCTTAATTCTGAAACCTTTCTTCCACTAATTACACAGTAACAAATGAAAAAAATATGGATCTATAATTCTGTCATTTTATATTACTTCCAGTGGTGATAGATACTTAGCAACCATTCTCTTCTATAGAGGAATGAATACCTGAGTGAAGCATGCAAAATGTCATGTGGCATTAATTATCCAGATCATTGTATTTAGACAGCTATTATCACAATGTGTAAAATGCATTCATTTTAGATCCCACTTTTTTGAATCTGTTTCTTCAGCATTCTATTGAAGGAAATGCAAATTTCCACCATATTTATTATACATATATATATAGAGAGAGATAAAGATATAGATAAAAAGAAATGTCTAAACAAGCTGCTTCCCCCTATTCCTGATTACAAATGATTTGGATTAACTGGTATTTTTCTCTAGAAATATTTGCAACAAGGAAAATGCATAAAATAGATATATAAATTATTTTATTAACGTGAATGTTTAGATATATTAAAATGAAGGAAGAAAATTTTCACCTAAATGTTTTCCAAAATTAACTGAACATTGTGCTATTTCTGCACAGTATTTAGAAGCATTAGCACTTATATATAATATTGCAAAAATGTGCATACACCTTTATGATTGTCTGTAAAAAAAAGTAATAGTGATTCATTCCATGATATAATGAGCATAAAGAATACTCTAGGTGTAATATGCTATGTACAGAATCTTCCAACTAGCAACTTTTCCTACATAATTTTATTAATTTATTTTGTTTCTTTCTAGTTCTGCAGTAAAATAACTCTATTGTTCTCTGCTTTTCAAATTCCTGAACAGGTTAGTTTGCAGGGATTAGTTTTTGCCTGAAGGCCCACAAAGTTTAAACTGAACTATTTTTGAACTAACTAGAAAACATCTTGGAAAGAGAACATGTATAGGAAACTGAAGCAAAGTTAATTAAGAGCAGCTGTGTAGATCTGTAGTGAAGTAGATCAGTATCCCATCAAATCCTCTACAGGTTCCCCACTTTTAAACCAGTATGTACTTCCATTTGCATTGGGGAAATGATTAAATGTATTAAAAATACTGCTTTAAATTCACATAACATGAGATGTTAGTATAAGGTGTTTTTTTTTAAAAAAAAATCAATACACATTTTATGATCATTACTGAATGGCTGTTCAAAATCGGATGAATTCTTATATTTTCTTTTAAATATTTCTCTTTTCATAAAGATTGTACAAAACAATGAATTTTTAACACTTTAGTCAAACGTTCATAAGTGGAGAACAAAAGATTTATTTTTGAAAACAAGAACTGTGGTTTATACAATTCCAGACATGAATCTGTTTTCAATTACTGAAAGTATTTCCACTTCAGTGGAAAGGGATCAAGTCTACAGCTATACAATTTTGGGGGCAATGAATGCAATTATATTAAGCTTTATAAACAGAATGACTTTGTGACAGGATCACATAGTCTGCATATTCTGTGTCTGTTATGAGAGAAAAGAAAAGAGAATTATAAATAAGAACATTGGATTTGCAATTGTGGAGTGGAAAATATGATATGCTTCTCCCCCTTTCAAGTAGCATAATAACTGTCCTATATTTCCTAGCAATACTTAATAATTATTTTTAAATCAACATTTTCCGGTATTATATAAAAGTACATTATATTTGCGTTTATAAAGTTGAATTTATATATTTAATTATATTTTCTCTTTAATTATCACTATTTTAAAAAACCAGCAGTACGCTAAACAGTGCTTATACGGTGAGGTCCGTTATTTTTACACGGAGCCGAATTCTTCATTAGAAATATTTACTACCCTTTGAGAATGCCACGACACGTTCGCACTAATCAAGTCCAAAAGCCCAAGGAACTCGACCCAATTTTGTCTACATCAGAAAGCGATGAAGACTAGATGTGCTATTCTAAAGGCTTGAATGCAATAATTTGCTGGAGTTTTTTTTTTTAACGCAACACACCCCTGTTCAAGAATTCTTTGAATGTTAAAGTGGCTGTACGAAAAAAAAGAGCCACTTAAGTAACCGGAGAGCTTTTTGCAAGAGCATTATTAGCACGTTGAGAAATAGGTAAAGTTAAGCTACTCCTTTGCTAGATCTCCATCTAGCTCTTCAAGGGTTAACAAGCCACCTCATTCTCATTTCCAACGCTAATATTGCCTCTGCACCGATTCCAAGAGAAGAGCAGCCTCCTCCCATTCTATAACACCGCATCGGAACAAACATACATAAAAGGAGAAAGGAGGGGGGGGAGAAATCCGCACATTTACCTACAGCAGCACTAGCGCTTCTGTTTTTGAATGTTTTAAGTGGATCTTCTGGAAGTAAGTAGTCGCACTTTATCCCGGCTCGGCTGTAAGGTCAGAGAAGGGTAGCTTTTCAGGCACCCACCTTTCCGTGGTGATTCCGCCTTCTGGATGTGACGAGCTGAGCGCAGCCCTTCCAAGTTGAATCAGTCTATAATGTATCATGTTACAGAGCCTGGCTTTCTCTTCAGGCACCGAGCAGCAATCAGACATGATAGGCTGAGGCTCCTCTGTTTACATCCAAGCAGGGGAGGGGGGGCGGGGTTGGCATCGCTTAACCCTTGCCGAGCCACGGGGCGCCTCGTTCTCCCCATTTCCTCGGACTGCCGGAGGAGGACGGAGTTCTGAGCGCGGCCAAAGCCGCTCGCGCTTCTTCGTCTGCCCCCCCCCCGCCCCAAACGAACCTCCCCCTCTTCTTTCAGATGTGCAGAGACTGGCGGAGGCCCCGACCCAAAGATAAGCTGTCGCGCTGAAGGACTGCATCGCAGCAGCGCCTATTGCATTAAAGAGGAGCCGGAACGGGGACAGCTTTGGAAGGCAAAATAAAATTCGTCTCTTGTTGGCAGAGCAAAAAGTGCAAAAGAATAAAATGGACAACAAACTAAATCTCTGCTAAAGATGGGTGCTTGGGTTGTTGTTTTTTAAGCGAGTATGCATTTCTCAAAGTACTTAATTCTTTTGACTGTTAAGAATTATCTTCTCCGATGGTCTGAAATTGAAGAAGTCAATTCTTTCCAACGGGCGCCTTAGAATTCCTTTGACTGAGAATGTCGGCAAACGTTAAGGCTCGAGATCCGTGCCTGGCGGGTTCTGCGCTACTCAAGACACAAACAACCTTAAAGATACGTCATAATCACAAACTGATGATCTGATCCGTAACATTTCCCTTTCGGATCTTATAGCATTTGCATCGATCTAGGTTTTATTACGTTAGGCTACCATTTCTGGCTGCAGAAATCCGGATAACCAACAAACAGCAAAGGGCTATTCCCCCCCCCCCAAAAAAAGGGCACCCCCCCCCCCCCCCGTCTCTTTTGCCAGGTCCTCCAGATTTCTGCAGACCAAATATAGTAGCCCTAATAAAAATTTTGCAGAAAATGCAAAATGGATTAAAGAACAGGATTCATTTTTAATATACGTGCATAATTTTCTTGAGAATGATTGACACAGATCTATCAGCACTGCAAATACAGAATCCGAGAACTGGAATTTTTAAAAAAAATTAAGGAGCTTAGATGAAATACAAAACTGAAACTATCCAGAATATTGCTAAAAAGAAGGGTTTATCCCCAGGAAGTAAGGAAAACCCATTGGAAGCTCATGGCAATATTTTTGAAGGTTACAAGGTTGTGGATCCAGAAGAATAAAGAGGGGGAGGCCTCTTGCATTTGGAATACCTGCAGCCCCAGATCTTAATCATAAACGATGGGACTATTAACAGATCTTGTGTTCTGTTTCATCTCCTGGTTAAATGGAGAAAGATTTTTGCAAGTTAGCACCCTGATTCTTCTGGAGAAACAGGGCAATTGTGTTATTTATACATTATTCCTACATAACATATGAAGTGTTTTACCTCAGTTAGAAACACATCTATTATTGGCATGAACATTGTGTATGAATTAGTTCATACATGTGCACATTGTTCAATTTATGTTTATTCCACCACCATCACCAAATCAACCAACAGGGGGCTGTACAGTTCTTGCCACTAATTTACAACAGGAACATTTAAATATTTTGCTTTTCAATTTTTCTTTAAAAATTATCATAATTCATAATCTAATAATTTTATTCTGTGATGTATACTGCATTGCTTGGTATTCCTAATATTTGTATTCTGCATCAATATTAATTTCTGAGGATTAATAATTAATCATTAAATGTTTTTACGAACATGGGAAATCATAGCTTTATCATATTTGTAAATACTTCATTTACCTGTTTTTATTTATTTATAATCTTTTTCCTTGATTATATAATTTATATGGTTTCTTAGATGGTTCATCTAATTGTTTTACCTCAACCTTCTGCAAGTAAGCAACATATTTACTACTACAAACTAAGTTTGTTTTTATTATGTTTTTCCACTGGTTTCACATGAGTTTGAGGGGCAATTTTCATACATTTAAGGTTTAAAATTATTTTTTCAAAATGAATATTTTCATATTCTGAAATCTTCTGTTCTTTATATTGTTCTTTATGTGTATATTACTAAGAATTTCCCAAATTTGGAAATATTTTCAAATAATTCAAAATACAATTCAGATTCGTAAATACCAATGTATTTATGAACATTCTATGACAGCTTTTTTGATTCTCTATCCAGAATTCAGGCAATCACCAATGTAAAGACAATTTACCAACATCTCTTCAACTGTCAATGATCTCCTTAAATTCCCAAAATATTCAGTGCATGAAAATATGAGATAGAGAAGCTAAAAATTATCTCAAATTTAATTAACTATTAGTCATAATTATGAAAAACTATGATAAAATGATTTATTTCCTTGCTTTTGACTTTCAAGCAAATCATAAGAATAAAGAACACAGGTCATTTATCACGGTTGCATATTAAATATCTTAAATTAACCCAAACATATTCTGATCCAGCATAAACCTGGTTTTCTTGTTTAAAGAATAAACAGTGTTAAGATATCATAGTTCTGACAATCTCCATTTTGTAAAGGCTGGAGGCTAAAGTCGAAGAAAGAAAACTCTCAATGCTATTGGGAAAGCTACTATAGTCCTGGACAAAAGGATCGTGGCACGTGAAAAGACCTACAGAAATAAATTATATGAAGCAATGTATTGTGAAAATATCAGAAAATTAGGGGGAGTTATGGTATAGAGATATCAAATGTGCAAAATAAAATTATGAAAAGAAAGACATAAAATGTTTCTAAAATAAATAAAAAAAAGATGGGACTTACTAATACATAACGGAGCAAAATATTTTAACACTGAACATACTGGAAAATAGTTTCGAACAATGGAACCAAAAGTTAATTTTAAGAGTGTCTCTCTCTATAGAAGGACTGTGTTTAAAATATGTTAGGAAGATGAACAAGTTTTATCAGAGAAGACCGAGATTGATCTGTAATTGGATTTTAAAATGCTGCAGTAGCCATACAAATGAAACCAGCTAATGTCTTCATAATTAAAAGGAACATACAAACAACAAACCAAAAAAGTGAGCTAGATAACACTCTTACATTGGATTTACAAACGGGGCTTGTTAAAGTTTTGAAGAATTTTGTAAGAAAGGACAAAATAAAATGAAAAGAAATCAAATTCTAGAATATTATTAGAGGGGATAAAAGACTTAAAAATAAAAGGAGGGAATATAAGGTTGGTTTATTTGAGCAAGGTTAAGATATGTATTTAGTATTTGGTAACTGCTAAACATTAATGAAGGTGTGCTGATCAGGATTGAACAATAAGGCTTTAAGGATGTGTTTATAAATAGATGGGCCATGGGAAGAAGAATTCAATATCTTGTATTTTAAGAGGAGATGATAATTAAAATAGGTTATATTTGTTGTGGTGAAGGCGGAAATAATTTCTTCATATATTTGTTTTTCTTTTTTCATATTTTTCTTTTTCATTTTTCCATTTTGTTCTTTTCTGCACTTTTGTTCTATATTTTTCACTTTTGTTCACTATTTTTGTTCTTTTATCTTTGCAATTTACTTTAGAATATATATTTGAAATTTTAAGTATGTTGTAGGTATTCTCACAGAATGATTGCCTTATCATTGGAAGGTAAATTAGTGACTTTTCTTCCCCAGCCACCTTCTACCTCTATTGCCCCAACTTCCTTTTTTTAAAGGGCATTTTAAAACTGCACCTCTCTATCAAGCCTGGAGGCACAGTTGGAAAGAAAGAGGATGCTAGAAGAAGGTGGTTTGCAAAATATTAATTGCTTATTCAATCTTTTTTGTGAATTAAAAGATTCTCTCAAAACACTATATTAACATAACTCGGCAGATACAGACATATTAACTTCAGACATCTCTATCGCTCCTTTGTTGACTCTAGGAAGGAATGCTAGAATTGTGTAACACTCAGTAAATTACATGTTATCTTTTCTTAAATTCTGAAAAAAACTAAACAACCAAACTGCTTATAATTCCTGACACTATTTAAAAGGAATTTCTTATCTATTTGTGTAGAAATTATCATAGACAAATATAGATGCAATGCTGAAGATATTCATTATCATAATTCAGATACTATATCTCAAGATCAGAAAAGCTAGCATTGAAGAGCTCCATTTGAGATGTGTAGTTGTGTCTGTCTCTTTGAACTATGAGCATGCTTTCAAGCTAATCTATATACTCATCATCTATGGATAAAGCAAACAGAATGTCAGTTGCTTTAAGGAAAAACTGACCTTCCAATCCTGTCAGAAAAAAAAAAAAAGCAAGTACCCAGATATTTCTTATCTTGTGAGTCCTCTCTTGTCAGCATATCATTCTTAGCTGTACTACTTAGCTGCACCAAGAACATATTAATTTAGAATTAAAGTCTTTTTTTAATTCTCACCTACCCCAAATGGCCCTAATTCACAAATTTTTGACATATTAAATTTGTTAATCTTTGAGATTGTGTAAGATTATTAATAAATGCTGCAAAAAATAATATAGCTACTCCTTCTGGAAATATTCGGCTCAAAATTGCCTTAGTTTATCTATTAGCAGAGGCTGCTTCTTGGTGATAGAAGCTACATTATTTGTCACCTAATTAGTTATGAAATGGTCCCAAACAGTGAATATTTTCCAATGTCGTACTGTTATTCAGACCCAAGACTGGCTTACTAAAAGAAATATTTTTACAAAACAAAAAACAAATAAACCCCTCTAAGCCTGTTTTGTGAAACACACTATCAGAATATAGTCAGCAAAACATGGCCATAATCCAAAAACCCCAGGGGACTTTTATGACTCTATAAACAGTAAAGTTATCTTTTCCCTTAAGTCTCCATTTTAATATAAAAGAGCAGGTGATGCTTTCAGAATAATGCCCCTGCCCATTTAGATAATTTGAGCAAAATCATGTTCATACTAAAATTGACAAAACCTGGCAGAGTGAAAGATACTCTTGATACTAAACCTTTCTGCACCTTCACTCTCAAATTTTCTTAGCAGCATTGGCCAAACCGATACTGGCAACTGTCAAGTCATAATCCATTCACTGCAAAATTATCTGTTCAAAAAATCTCAATAGACCCCAATCATCCATGCAGTAGAATAAGGGTCAGGTTTGATAGAAGAAGCTAAAAGGCCTTTACGGCAGCTCTTACATTATTTCACATCCATTCACCTGTTAATCTCCATTGTCTCCAAGCATTAAAAAAAGCTATAAACACTTCAACATTTTTACAATGAAGGAGAAATGACAAGTTCATATTGTATTTCCATATTATCTTTTTTTTTAAATCACATGGTTTTTTGTAGTGTTATGAACACTTTCTTTATATCAAGCGTCTTCAAACTTGGCAAGTTTGACTTGTGGACTTCAACTCCCAGAATTCCTGAGCTAACATGACTGGAGGAGGCATTCTGGGAATTGAAGTCCACAAATCTTAAAGCTGTCAAGTTTGAAGACCCCTGCTTTATATCATATGGTCACGTTTTCCTGTAAATTTTTTACAGATCCTAGGAAATCTATTTCAAAATATTCCTATAACAGGTTTTCATGGTAAACCACTATAGCGACTGTACTCCAAATGCCCATTTGGCCATGTGTATTTAAAGCAGAAGTAAAGGATCTTATTTATTAACTACCGTTACCCCATGCCATGTAGGCCCCAGCATCCTGAATCCACATGTAAGTCAATTGGAAGCAGTGCAGTTCGTGAAGTAGCAGTGTTGCAAAGCCAAAATGAACTACAGCCATATACATGCCATTGCATTATGGACCAACTAAAGTTCCCAAGGGTGGCTCCATGTAAACCATGTTGCAATAGTCCAATCAGGAGGCAAATAAGATATTAGTGATCATTAACAGGGTCTCCTGCTCCAGGAATGGGCATAATCAGTGCATTATCTCCAAGGACTTGAAATGGATACCTAACATTAGAACCATCATTAAAAAGGCACAACAAGAATGTTCTTACTGCATCAACTTAGAAGCTCAGATTGTCCAAGGATCTGTTGATACAGTTCTAAAGAGGAATTATTGAGTCTGTCATTTGTACCTCAATAACTGTCTGGTTTGGCACAGCAACCGAACAGGGAAATACAGACTTCAACAGATAATTAGGACTGCAGAAAAAACCACCCTGCCTTCCATTTGTGTATACTGCATGAACCAGAAAGAGGGCTGAGAAAATATCTACAGACCCCTCACATTCTATACATAATTTCTCCCCTCAGGATGCCGCTATAGAGCATTGCTGCCATAAAAATAGACATAAATATAGCTTTTCGCCTGTGCCATCACTCTGCTGTACACTTAATTCCCACAGCACTGTTTCATTTCTCATCTTTTCTCATCTTCTCATCTTTTCTACTATCTTCTCTTATTGGTTTCTTACAACTTATCAATTATTTGTTTGTAACATGATTAATTATTGTAACTATGATTTATGACCTATGACCGATTACTTGCTGTTTATATGAACATTGTGAGCTCAACTCCCGGAAACAAATTCCTTATGTGTCCAATCACACTTG